TCTTTCCCCACACCATGCTGCCTCCGTGTGGAGGAAATGAAAGCATTTGAAAGCGAGCTCATTTGAACTGCATGAAATAGAATAGAGTATCTGTCAAGTAGAGGGTGGAGCAAGCGTGTGTTCGGCAGACTGTATTCTGAGAGGTAGGAAGTGTACTGGCTTTGGGTGATTTTTTTATAGGTTGTGTTTTACAGGGTTGTGTTAGATGCTTCCACTCAGGCTCTAACCCAACCCTAACAGCTCCAGCCAAAGAACAACAGAGGATGGACATTCGATGTGCTAGCTGTGCAGAACCACCACAGGCCCAGGCTAGTCACCTCCTGGCAATTAGGCTTTAGTTTTTGGCTTCCTGTGCCCAGCAGCCTCACTCAGCTTCCTCTGAGCCATGTGTCCCTTTGTTCCAGGATTCTGTGTCTTTGGACAAGTTTCAGAAAACAGAAATCTCTGTTTTCTGTGCTCTTCAACCTTGGGGTGAGACATGTAGAACCCTTCTTCTATGCTGTTTAGACCAGGAAATCTGAGGGGCCGAAGACTGTGGTGAAAGCTCCCCCAGTTCAAGTGGAGGGAGGAAGCAGCAATGACTCCATCCCTTACCTAGCCAAGTCTGTATCCAGACCTCAAACCACATTCTCCCCGCTCCCCAAGGGACATAAGTGTCCATCTCACATAAAAAACAGCACCTACTTGGCCAGCCTTGGGTTAGAGGGGTGCTGTTTCCAATAATCACCAAGGCACTTTCTTATGACCCTCTTTCTTGCCCTCTCTGGCTGGCTCTCCCCCAGGACTATCCTCCCCTAAAGTGCTTCTCTACTGATTTGGCAGGAGATTCAGGACAGCAACCTTGAATTAGTGACGAAGCCGATACCATTATCAGGGTGAGCATAGTCCCTTCTTGTAGACACTCTCAAATTACATGATTGATTTTCTCGAGTTCTCTCTTCCTTGCCATGAGGGAGAGAATTTCTCTACACCTCATATGAAGATAAGGGTAATACAGTTTTATTGAACACTAAAGTCCCTCCCCCAGCTTTTAAAGGCTACCTCGTCCTTTCCAGACCTCCTCTCAATCACACCATTTTGAATGCGATGGTGGTAGCAGGCCTTCTAGGGCATCATGGTTGGCCCAGTTGCAGGTGGTCCAGGTCCCCTGAACTCTGAGTGTAAGGTCCTTAGCACTCTCTTTGTTCTTAGCTGTGGCTTTAGTAGTGCATGCCCAGAAAGTATGGAGACCTGCAGAATCCCCAGGAAAAAGTTTCTGAGGTGCTTTGCAACAAAACTAGTTATACTCTCATATGTGGCTCAGACTTTATTTCTAATGGTTAATTGCTTTCGTTGCTCCTCCTTACAGTACCTCTGGGGTTTGCCATATGGCAGCTTACCTAGGAAAACGGTTCCTAGAGCTGAAGAGGCCTCAGCAGCGAACTTTGGTGTGTTGTACGACTTCAATGTAAGTGTCTCCACACAGCCATGTTAGCAGGAAGGCTATTTTTTTCCTTACTTCATTTTATTTGAAACTTTGTGGCCTTCTCCAATGGGATTGGCTGCATGGCTTAAGAAAGATATCCCTGCCTTTGTTTAAAAGAGAACAGAAGAAAAAGAAAGGAAAAAAAAAATATGACAATTTGAATAGGGTTTAGGAATATGATAATATGATTAAATGGGAATATAAACTACTGAGTGGAGGTGAGCTCAGTTCAAAGACTTAAAGCAGATAGTCTTATCTCTGACTTTGGAAAAGAACAAAAGAAGAGTTTACAAATGTGCTTTTTGGAAATCGTGTTGGACTTTCAGAGAATTCAAGCTTTTGTATTTCATCTTAACCTCTTCACTTCCTAAACAAGCCTCCTATTAAGTGTTACTCTCAGTACTACATAAAACTACATAGTAAAAACTAAGAAATACTAAATTCTAGCTTCTAAATAATGCTAAAATGAGCATTGCTCTCTCATAGTACTAAAATGAGTATTACACTTGGAGCTCCTCCGGGTGAAGACTATTACTATGGCAGAGACTCATTCCCAGTCATTGAAGACTTATTTCAGAGTGTGATTCAAGTCTGTGGCAATAATGCAATTCCATACACTGCTTTTCAAGCAGTGAGCAGGTTAGAGATGTTTGCCAGCATCTGGGTAGACAAGTAGCAAAGTAGAGAAAGGGAAATTGATCATTGAAGACATTTTTGAAGGAGAACAAATGAGAATAAAATTTTATGGAGACTGCAGAATGAAGAGGAGAAAAGAAAATGGACTTCCTATTTATAGTAACAATATGTGTATTTCACAGACATTCCCATGTCTACCTTTAGACCTCTTAAACTGTGAGATTTCTGGGGACCAGCAGTTAGCGTAATGGGTATGTTGCTGGACTCCCACGTAGTCGACCGCGGTTCGAGTCCCGGGCCCAATGGCTTAGACTCACGCCAGGTGCATGTGCGTGCGTGCCCAAGATCCCAAGAAGAGAATGGAGGAGAAGGGATTGCGGCATGACCATCCCTCCTGGGGAGTGATTTCTCACTTTCTATCTCTCTGTCTCTCTCTGTCTGTCTGGCGAGTGCACGCGCCCTATAGCAAAAAACAAAAACAAACAAACAAAAAAAACCTCTCCAAAAAAAGAAAAATAAATGGTAAGATTTCTGAATAAGGAATCAGTCTGGTCCTCACCCAGTGAAGGATTAATCAATCTCATTGACCGACCATCCTGAATGAAGGGGAAGATTTGTAGCATCTTGAGATAAGAACCACAGAAATTAATTTACGTGAGCAAACCTTAGGAAATGTTCCCAGCTCCCAAATGAACAAAACAAGCTATTGAATAAGCCTAGGCAGAGCAGCAGCAGCAATTTTGTGGCATTTGTAATCTTCAATCACCCTTGTCACTTGGACGTTTCCTTTCAATTCAGCATTACATGGAATGTAAACATGCACTGGTTTAACCAAGATGAATGTGACATGATTGTCGACTTCAGGGTACATGGGATAACAGAAGATACATAAGCAACTAGTATATAACATGCTATACACAAAGATAGCAAAATCACACACACACACACACACACACACACACACACACACTCACACCATCAGCCCTGTGTCCACACAGCACAGTGATAAGGGAGACAGGATCTCACATAGCTGTCTGTAGTTTAAGTTCTGGCCCCTAGTGGTTTGAAAGACATGCTGGTCTTGTGTACCTGCATGCCCAAAATTCTTACAGAAAGGAGGAATAGAGGAAAAAGAGTTGCAGTGTGACCACGTCCCATTGGAAATGATTTTTTATCTCTTTCACTCTGTCTTTCTGGCAAGTGCACATGCCTTTGGGCAATAAAAAACAAAAATATTTTAGAAAGAAAAACAAGATTAGAGGAGTCCCTAGCCAGTGATTGTTTATTTTACTTGGAAATGGTCTGAGTTTCATAGAAAAGATGGCCTTTGAGTTAGATTTTACTTCCTGTCTTTTATTTCTTTCTCTCTCTTTCTTGCTTGGAAATTTCCAGATAATGTATTGCGATGTCCCCCAACCACTATTTTTATTTTTTTCATGTTTTCCCCCCAATTAGCAAGATCATAAAATTTCAATCTGCTTAATAAGAGCAAGAACTAAATCATTGACATTTTCTGACTTTTTAGTTATACTTGAGTAACAAAGAATTAAGAACATTGGGGACCAGCAGTAGTGTAATGACTATGTTGCTGGACTCCCACGTAGTCAACTGTGGTTCATGTCCCGGACCCGGTGGCTTAAAACTCACGCCGGGCACGTGTGCGTGCGTGCCCAAGATCCTGAGAGGAGAATGGAGGAGAAGAGATTGCAGTGTGGCCATCCCCCCTGGGGGGGTGATTTCTCGCTTTCTGTCTCTCTGTCTCTCTCTGTCTGTCTGGCGAGCGCACACACCCTACAGTAAAAACCTCTCAAAAAATAAAAAGAAAAAGAAAAGAATATGAACAAACACCTTTCTGATTTGTAGATACATATTTCTGAAGTTTAAGCTAATCTAAATTTGCCACCTAACTGAAATAAAAAGTTTTGGGCAAAAACATTGCATTTGAGATTTTAAGAATATTTACTCAGTTAAGGAAGAGAGGCAGGTGCAGGGAAAGCTGGTTGCTGAGCGGGCCCCCCAGATTGGACTGCTGCTCTCAATAGCTCTCTCTCACCCAATTTGGTGAAATACTATTTATAGGTGTGTAGAAGAATATAGAAACCAGAGTATCCTATGATATTTATTTCTAGGTTTAGCTGAAAATAATCTTAAGGCAGTAAGAAAATTTTAAAAGGTAAGAAAACATAAGAAACCCATTAACTAATACCATTTATGTCTAGGACTTTATAAAATGTTTATTTAATGCCATGATCTTGTCCCCCACCCTACAGCCAACCAGGATCACAGACATGCTTACAGCTGTGCCCAGGGCATTCAGGTAGACCCAGGATGTGAACCCAGAGTTTTCCCATTTGACCCCAACAGAGCCCTATTTCCTGTGTTATTATGCCTATGGCTAGGTCATTCTTCAGGCATTCTTAATTTTTCTATATATGGTAATTGCTCAAGTATTTGGCATAAGCCATTGCTGAGGTTAGTAGTGATAATACCTCTATTTCCTCAATGCCTGCATTATACAGTGAACTGCGCTTGGTAAGTCAGGTTACTCACCTCACAAACCCCTTCACAGTGGGTATTTTTATGTAAAACTAAGCTTGAGGATGTTCTTATGGGCAAAATAGCAAAACAATACTATCTACCTCAAAGATCTCTAAGTGAAATATGCACGAAAAGTCAGATAGCATGGAGTATGTAGCAGCAAATGTTCATTTTTAGAAGAGCCATACTTTTACCAAAAGCAAATACAACTAGGAGACAGAATTTGGGCACAGGACTGATGGTATTTGACAAACTACATATGTGGATAGAAACAAGGTAATGAAAGTACTCCTATAATATTAATAAATAAATAATAAATAAATAAAAGGGTTTCAGTTCTAATGAGAAGTTAATGAAAGGTTCAGGGAAAGGAAAGTAATAAGATTATGCAGTTGTTATTAAATTTTCATTGCATTGGGTTATTCTACTGTAAGTAATTTCATATGCTGTACAGGTTTTTATGACTTTCTGTTTTTTTAAGTTAAAGTTTATTTATTTATTTATTCTATGAGAGAGGGAGAGAGAGAGAGAGAGAGAAAGGGAGAGAGAGAGAGAGATACTTCCAACAGAATCTTCATGCTGTGATCCATCCCCAGCCTCAGCTAGCCCAGAGAAGGGTACATAGGTGCACCCAGCAGGCAGAAGGAAGCCCCATGACATGAACTGATGACCTTCACATGTGAGTCCAGTTGCATTATGACTGTACCACCACCTGGCCCTGTATTTTACAAATTTTATAGTTTGAAGAGCTTTCTGTTTTTATTTTTGTATGTTGGGAACATTCTGCATTTCAATTTTTGTAAGAGGACGGTATTGAATGCATCCTAGCATAACCAAAAGATTGAGCATACTCTCTATACTAGGGTCAAAATAATCACAGAAATACATCAATTAAAAGAGAGTACAGGACTTCTAATGATAAAACTCAGAGCAACAAGGGAAAAGTTGTACACAACTTAATTTGAAATATGATAAATTTTGCTTCTCAGTAAGAATTCAGACTAAGAAAGCCAAATGGTCAATAGTAGAAAGACAGTATCGGTTCAGATGACATCCCGTCTTGGTAGGGACATGGTGTACTCTGTGGTGGAGAAGAGGTTGCATGAGCTCAGACTGCCCTGGATAGCCTGTGTGGGCGGGAAAGATCAGACACAAGAAACATCATGAACTGTCCCCAGAAACATCATGAACTATCCCCTTAAGGACTCCAGTGGAATGAGTAAAGAATTCTTTGAAACAAACATTAGAAGTGGTTACAAAAAGATAACGAGGGAAAAATAAAGTCTAGTTGAGCTTGAGGGTCTGAGTTCATCACGTCAGGTAATTGGAGTATTTCCAGAAGAGAGAATCTAAATTTCTTTTGTCTGAATCTTCATTTTTGTTAATATTATCAAAATTAATGTCGACCAAGTGCCTATATGGGCAGGTATTGTGCTTCGTGTACTCATGTGCTCGTCAATTTATTTATAAATATAATTAGATTTATTGATCTTTATAGTGTCATTTTCCTCATGAAAAAGGAAGCCATAGCTATCTCAACAGAGAGCATTTAATATAAGAAATTGAATAAATAGTTGTTGGGGGACAAAAAGTGCATAAGGGGACCCTGAGGTAATGGTAACGGTAACAAGTAACACAGAAGGTAATTTCTACCCCGAGGGTTAGGAGGACAGAAGGAGGAGGCAGGGATTATTGGACTGTAGGAACTTGGAGGAAGGGTGCTGCAGGACTCAAACCTCTAACCAGGGCTGTGGTCAGGCTAGTCTGGGGTATTCCACAACAGGCTAGAAATGGAATCACATGTTGTT